AATCACCCTAAATGTAAATGGAATGAATGAACCAATCAATCAAAAGACACAGAGTCACTGAATGGATAAAAAAACAAGACCCATCTATATGCTGCCTACAAGAGACTCACTTTAAACCCAAAGATATACACAGACTAAAAGTGAAGGGATAGAAAAAGGTATTTCTTGCAACTAACAGATAAAGGAGTCAATCCAACAAGAAGATATAACCATTACAAATATCTATGCTCCCAACACAGGAGCACCCACATATGTGAAACAAATACTTACAAAATTAAAAAGGGAAATAGAATGCAATGCATTTATTTTTGGAGACTTCAACTCTCCACTCACTCTGAAGGACAGATCAACCAGACAGAAAATAAGAAAGGAGACAGAGGGACTGAACAACACATTAGAACAGATGGACCTAACAGACATCTACAGAACTATACACCCAAAAGCAACAGAATACACATTCTTCTCAAGTGCACATGGAACATTTTCAAGAATAGATCATACTAGGCCACAAAAAGAGCCTCAGTAAATTTAAAAAGATTGAAATTGTACCAAACAGTTTCTCAGACCACAAAGGTATTAAACTAGAAATACATTATGCAAAGAAAATGAAAAATCCCACAAACACATGGAGGCTTCACAACATGCTCCTAAATAACCAATAGATCAATGACCAAATAAAAACCAAGATCAAGCAATATATGAAGACAAATGATAATAATTCAACACTGCAAAATCTGCTTGACACAGCAAAGGCAGTGCTAAGAGGAAAAGTATATTGCAGTGCAGCCTACTTCAGAAAAGAACAATCCCATATGAACAATCTAAACTCACAATTAAAGAAACTAGAAAAAGATTCACAAATGAGGCCCAAAGTCAGTAGAAGGAGGGACATAATAAAGATTAGAGCAGAAATAAATAAAATTGAGAATAAAACAATAGAAAGAGTCAATGAAAAAAAGAGCTGGTTCTTCGAGAAAATAAACAAAATAGATAAACTCCTAGCGAGACTTATCTAGAAAAAAAAGAGAGTCTACACACATAAACAGAATCAGAAATGAGAAAGGAAAAATCACTATGGACACCACAGAAATAAAAAGAATTATTAGAGAATACTATGAAAAATTACATGCCAACAAACTGGATAACCTAGAAGAAATGGACAACTTTCTAGAAAAATACAACCTTTCAAGGCTGACAAAGGAAGAAACAGAAAATCTGAACAGACCCATTACCAGAAACGAAATTGAATGGGTAATCAAAAAATTACCCAAGAACAAAACCCCTGGACCAGAAGGCTTCACCACTGAATTTTTTCAAACATTTAGTGAAGACCTAATACCCATTCTCCTTAAAAGTTTTCCAAAAAATAGAAGACGGGGAAGTACTTCCAAACTCATTCTGAGGTCAGCATCACTCTAATACCAAAACCAGGCAAAGACACCACAAAAAAAGAAAATTACAGACCAATATCCTTGATGAACATAGATGCAAAAATACTCAACAAAATATTAGCAGACCGAATTCAAAAATACATCAAAAAGATCATCCATCATGATGAAGTACGATTTATTCCAGGGATGCAAGGATGATTCAACATTTGAAAATCTATCAACATCATCCACCACCTCAACAAAAAGGACAAAAACCACATGGTCATCTCTGCAGATGTTGAAAAAGCATCTGACAAAATTCAACATCCATTCATGATAAAAACTCAACAAAATGGGTATAGAGGGCAAGCACCTCAACATAATAAAGACCATATATGACAAACCCACAGCCAACATTATACTTAACAGCAAGAAGCTGAAAGCTTTTCCTTTAAGCTCGGGAACAAGACAAGGATGCCCACTTTCCCCACTTCTATTCAACACAGTACTGGAGGTCCTAGCCATGGCAATCAGACAACACAAAGAAATACAAGGCATCCAGATTGGCAAGGAAGAAGTTAAACTGTCCCTGTTTGCAGATGACATGATATTGTACATAAAAAACCCTAAAGACTCCACTCCAAAACTACTAGATCTAATATCTGAATTCAGCAAAGTTGCAGGATACAAAATTAATACACAGAAATCTGTGGCATTCCTATATACTAATAATGAACTAGCAGAGAGAGAAATTAGGAAAACAATTCCATTCACAGTTGCATCAAAAAGAATAAAATACCTAGGAATAAACCTAACCAAGGAAGTGAAAGACCTCTACTCTGAAAACTACAAGACACTCATGAAAGAAATTAAAGAAGATACCAATAAATGGAAACACATCCCGTGCTCATGGATCGGAAGAATTAATATTGTCAAAATGACAATCCTGCCTAAAGCAATCTATAGATTCAATGCAATTCCCATCAAAATACCAACAGCATTCTTCAACGAACTTGAGAAAATCATCCTAAAATTCTTATGGAACCACAAAAGACCTCGCATAGCCAAAGCAATTCTGAGAAGGATGAATAAAGCTGGGGGCATTACGCTTCTCAACCGCAAGCTCTACTACAAAGCCACAGTAATCAAGACAATTTGGTACTGGCACAAGAACAGACCCATAGACTAATGGAACAGCCTAGAGAGCCCTGATATAAACCCAACTATATATGGTCAATTAATATATGATAAAGAAGCCATGGACATACAATGGGGAAATGATAGCCTCTTCAACAGATGGTGTTGGCAAAACTGGGCAGCTACATGCAAGAGTATGAAACTGGATTATTGTTTAACCCCATACACAAAAGTAAGCTCAAAATGGATCAAAGACTTGAATGTAAGTCATGAAACCATAAAACTCTTAGAAGATAACATAGGCTAACATCTCCTGAAGATAAGCATGAGCAACTTCTTCTTGAACACATCTCCTCCAGAAAGGGACACAAAAGCAAAAATGAACACATGGGACTACATCAAACTAAAAAGTTTTTGTATGGCCAAGGACATCATCAACAGAACAAAAAGGCATCCTACAGTATGGGAGAATATATTTGTAAATGACATATCCGACAAGGGGTTAACATCCAGAATATATAAAGAACTTACACGCCTCAACACTCAAAAATAATATAACCTGATTCACAAATGGGCTTAGGATATGAAGAGACAGTTCTCCAAAGAAGAAATTCAGATGGCCAACAGACACATGAAAAGATGCTCCATATCACTAATCATCAGGGAAATGCAAATTAAAACCACACTGAGATATCACCTCACACCAGTAAGGATGGCCAGCATCAAAAAGACTAAGAACAACAAATGCTGGCAAAGATGTGGAGAAAGGGGAACCCTCCTACAGTGCTGGTGAGAATGTAAGCTAGTTCAACCATTGCGGAAGGCAACATGGAGGTTCCTCAAAAAACTAAAAATAGAAATACCATTTGACCCTGGAATCCCACTCCTTGGAATTTAACCAAAGAATACAACTTCTCAGATTCAAAAAGACATATGCAACCCTATGTTTATGGAAGCAACCTAAGTGTCCATCAGTAGATGAATAGATAAAGATGTGGTACATATACACAATGGAATGCTATTCAGCCATAAGAAAGACACAAATCCTACCATTTGCAACAACATGGCTGGAGCTGGAGGATATTATTCTCAGTGAAATAAGCCAGGCGGAGAAAGACAAATGCCAAATGATTTCCCTCATTTGTGGAGTATAACAATGAAGCTAAACTCAAGGAACAAAATGGCAGCAGACTCAGACTCCACAGATGAACTAGTGGTTACCAAAGGAGAGGGGTGTGGGAGGGAGGGAGAAAGGGATTGAGGGGTATTATGTTTAGTACGTATGTTGTGGGGGATCACGGGGAGAACAGTGTAGCACACAGAAGGCACATAGTAAATACATGGCATCTTACTACCCTGATGGTCAGTGACTGCATTGGGGTAGGGGTGGGGACCTGATAATATGGGTGAATGTAGTAACCACACTGTTTTTTCATGTGAAACCTTCATAAGGGTATATGTCAATCATACTTTAATAAAAAATTTTAAAAAAAAAGAAATGAAATACTTATATGTGCAGTAACATGATGAACCCTGAACACTTTATGTCAACTGAAAGAGCTAGTCACAAAGGACCACAAATTGTCATTCCATTTGTATGACATATCCAGAGTAGGCAAACCTTGAAGACAAAATGTAGAATGTTGGCTGCCTGGGGCTAGGGAAGGTGGGAGCTGGGGGTGATGGCTGAGGGATGTGGGTTCCTCATTGGGGTGATGAAAATGTTCTACTTGATTGCAGGGACAGTTACATAAGTCTGTGAATTTACTCAGAGATACTGCATTGGACATTTTAAATGGGTGAATTGCATGGTGTATGAATTATATCTCAGCAAGACTTAAAAAAGTCCAATGGCTGGATGTAGATAATTTTCTTAATTCTCTATTTTGGGGTACATACTGTACATAATGTGAATCTACATTTTTACAGGATATCTAAAGGGGAAAGGAAATGATGGAAGTATTTAATTTCAACCAGTTTATATAATGACCTTTTGTACAAATTATCCTGAAATCTACAAAATAAATATACACAGATTCTATATCCATTCACAACAGTGAAGATGAGAAAAATGACAATTTTCTGAAACATTTCATTAAACATTATCCTCTGATTTTATCTGGCTTCCTTTGTCATGGCAAAAGAGATCTATATTAAAACAATGTTTGATACTAAAAAGACAAAGTCTCAACTGATGTGAGGAATGATGCATAATCATCAGCTTTTCTGAGGTAAATGTAAGAAAAAATGTGTAATATAAAAGGCAGGACTAAAGTCAGAGTTTAAGAAGTAAGTACACTGTAAAGACAGTAAAATTATAATAAATTCACTATAATGAAAATACAGAAATTAGTATTCTAAAACACTGTATTATTTAAGCAGCTGTAGATTAAATGTTGTTAATTTTCATACATACTCAACTTCTATATTTATTCAATTTCTTCCTTAAGTACCATGTCTTATCTTGTACATTAGTATGGCAATGTGATGTACCCTCAAGCGAAGCCTCTGACTTAGGCGGTTGTATTACGGTGTCATCCCGTTGTCACTGGAGTTGTCTCACAACTACCTAGTAAGATATTTCTGTTACTGCTTTTATAAATCACATTATTAAATTATGTTAGTAATAAATCACTCTAACATACATGTTTTGAAAAAATATCACCACATTCATCGATTCACCTTTCCCTCATGCATACACATTCCTATTTATTGAATTTGGTGTGATCCTCCTGCCTAGTGAATTCAGCCCCACTATTTGCAGAGCTTTACCACATAGTGAAGTCTCAAAAAAAAAAAAGAAAAAAGGCATGTGAATGGGACTTGGGGTGGTAAATTGTACATTGTGAAAAGTCTTCTCACTTTTTTTCCTAGTAACCTAAATTGATTTGAGTTCCTCACATACTGAATCCACTGCTTGAGTTCTTCCAACAGATTCCCATCTGAGAATGAATGTGAAGTCATGCCAATTGGACTCAGGCCCTAGGTAACCAGGACTCTACCTGCCTCCCTGACCTTGGCTCCTATAACGCACTCCATTCCTGCTATACACAAATCCTGCCACTGCACATTAATCTGAAAAAGAGCCCCAATCACAGATAGTTAGAATTCTCTTTGTACTGGACACACTTTTATCTAGTAAGTTTGTTATGTTCAGACCTAGGTCTTACAATCTCTCTTTAACTACATTTCTCCTTGAAATGAGAATTGTGAGCAAACTATATCTAAAAATGTTTGAAGAAAACTATAAATAGCAGTGGGAAGATTAAATCAAGTGTGGTCTTGCTATATACCTCACCACATTTGTCCTAAATTATGATGTATTGGAGAGTAGATGCCTTTAAACAGAGATCATAATAATATATGATTTGACACTAAAATGCTTCCAAATTCAATTCAAATTGACATGAATCAAAATAAAATTATACAAACTAAAAATGATAAAAGCTACTGAAGGAAAAGGACTATGACATAGAGCACCTGCCCTTCATTTCAAATTAATGCACAGTGGTCCATTTGTGATGAGTTTTAAATTATTTTTTGACTCTAATTTGACTCTTTGATCCTCATTTCCAAACAGTTTTGCATATGAGGAAGATCTGAATATAGGGATATATTCTATCACAATCCTCATTCATTTCTGCAAGGAGTAAAGTTTTACAGACTTCTTATTAAGTGATGATCTACTGACTCTGAAAGGCTAGTTCAAAAGGAAATTTCACCTGAACTAAGTTACAATATTAAAGCATAGTAAACAATATTAAACAAGAAATTAAAAATTTTATATACCTGTGGGTGGTGGTATTCACTTCCATCAGACCTTTCTTCTTCTTCACTGATGTAATTTCTAAGTCTTGTTCTGCTGACAAATGGTATATTTAGTTAAAATGAACTACACAGAATGGCTCAATAAAAGCTATAATCTTAAATAAAAATAGAAAATAACATTTTATCAACTGAGAACTTTAATTAAGCTTAATCTTTAGCTGAATATTTACTTATTCAGGAAATACTTCTAAACTGTCTACAACTGGAACAAATATTTGGGAAATACTAGAAATCACCAGGTTAAAAGCATATAAACATCTCAAAGACTCAGTAAAAAAACCCATTCATCAATAAACAAAACGAATAGAAACAAAACAAAATTTAAAAATACAGTAGAAACATATAAAGCCACAACATACTCTATTTTCTACCTCAAAATTATACCATTTTCACCATCCAAAATACAAACAACAAAAAATGTTGGCGAGGCTGCGGAAAAAGGGGAACCCTCCTACACTGCTGGTGGGAATGTAAATTAGTTCAACCATTGTGGAAAGCAGTATGGAGGTTCCTCAAAATGCTCAAAATTGAAATACCGTTTGACCCAGGAATTCCACTTCTAGGAATTTACCCTAAGAATACAGCAGCCCAATTTGAAAAAGACAGATGCACCCCTGTTTATCACAGCACTGTTTACAATAGCCAAGAAATGGAAGCAACCTAAGTGTCCATCAGTAGATGAATGGATAAAGATGTGGTACATATACACAATGGAATATTATTCAGCCGTAAGAAGAAAACAAATCCTACAATTTGCAACAACATGGATGGAGCTAGAGGGTATTATGCTCAGTGAAATAAGCCAGGCAGAGAAAGACAAGTATCAAATGATTTCACTTATTTGTGGAGTATAAGAACAAAGAAAAAAACTGAAGGAACAAAACAGCAGCAGACTCAGAACCCAAGAAGGGACTGGGGAGGATGGAGTGGGATGGGAAGGATAAGAGGGGAAAAAGGGGCAATACAATTAGCACACATAATGTAGCAGGGGAGCACGGGAGGGCTGTACAACACAGAGAAGACAGGTAGTGATTCTACAGCATCTTACTACGCTGATGGACAGTGACTGTAATGGGGTATGTGGTGGGGACTTGATGATGGGAGGACTCTAGTAACCATAATGTTGCTCATGTAATTGTATATTAATGATATCAAAATTTAAAAAAACAGAACCTCTTTTTCCTGTTGATTCAAGTACCTTTCAGGATAGCTTTTTTTCCCTTAAGTCACCTGCTAATATGCCTTATGGATGTAATGTTCATACTACAGGATCTTAGAAGAAAAATCCACTCTTTCTTGTTCAGGTAAACATATTTACAGCAGCTGCACAGACGCTGAGTGCTTCAGACTCACCTGTCACACACGTGTCGTCAGCAACAAGAAAAACCCCTTTCTCTGGCGACGAACACTTTCAATAAGGTAAAGAGCCAAGAGCTCTTGCCAAATCACCTGTCCTTTCCCAAAGCCACATCAGCATCAGTGGCTGCAGCTCAACATAAAATACACAGTATTTGACGCTAAAACAGGAAATTAAATTGCAATGGCCTGTGCGAGGCTCCTTGCTCTAAGAAGTCATCTCCCCACAATGACGATTCCAAATATTAATTACCAGGCATAACAGACGTCTTCAAAAAGCGAATGTTTACTCGAATAACTAAAAATCATTCATGAAAGCAGTGATTTCAGTGTCAACCCAATATATTAAAAGTTTACAATTGGAAGGAAACATCATGAACCAGTTAAAATCTTGGTATCTGCTTCTAGACAGGAAATCCCACACAAAATCTAAAACTGCCAGGAAAGGTTAAAGAACCTCGCGTGTCGCATCCAGGAGGAGAGGGAGAAAGGGAGCCAGGGAGCCTGGGTAGGGGCAGAGTGTTGACACTCACACACATTTCCTCATTTTACTGGAAGGTACAGCGATCCCACCATAGGCAACTTTATTGCCCTAGTCCTAAAAACTCGTTTTAAAAATAACAGCCAAAAGAAGCCGCTTGGTCCGAAACCTATGCGAAATTCCTTACACAGCCTGGGCTGCAGTGGGCGGCAGGGTCGTTGCCGCCCATTACTATACAAACAGGTACCCGGTCTCCGGGCGGAGAACCTCGCCAGTGCCCGCCGCCCCCGGGGGGACCACTCCCCCTCCACTCGCCACAGGACCTGTCCAGACAACAGCAATGGGCAGACATTTCACTGCTGACTGAACAAGAGGTAGAGAACAGCACAGAATCGCCCCCGAGATAAGCAGACACGCAAAAAACTTAACACAAATCAATAAACACTGCAACTACAACGCTGGCAGAGAGCGCGACCCTCGGGCCGCCCGCCTGCCACCCCAGACTCAGCGCGCCATCCAAGCTCCATTACCCGGGCGCAGCGGTCCGCGACTCCGGCCCGGATAACAACTTCCCAAAGAAACCAAACAGAAAAAAGGCGTCCACGCGGAGCCCCATCCCGGCGGGGAAAAGCAGCTCTCCCGGACGAGGGGATCTGTCTGTGGTGCTTCCCCGTCTCTGAGACCAGGTAACAACTCCACAAAGGCACCTGCTGCCCAGCTCGCCGCCAGCTCCACGTCTCCCACAGCGGCAAGTAGGTGCCCGCTCGTGCCCGGAGTCCCCGGCCGCCCCGCCAGCTCCCCACGGAACGTGGGCCGCACTCCCGGGGCTCGCCTCGCCGTGGCCAGCCGGGACCCGAGAAGCGGGGCCGCTGAGGGCCCCGCGCCTCCCGTCCCGCCGCCCATTCCGCGGACGCCCCTCGCCGGCCGGTCCCAATTTCATCGCCGCCGGCCCAGCCAGGTCGGGACGCGCGCGCGACGACATGGAGCCCGCAGCCCGGCCTGGCCCGGCGAGGGGCTAAAGAATGGGGAAAACCCGCTCCACCCAGCCCAGAAAACTGACCGGCCGCCCGCCCAGCGCGGGGATGCGGCGGCGGCGAACCGTCCCGGGGGGCGGCAGCGGCGGCAGGAGCAGCCACCCGGAGAGAGACCGGGTAAGAGACTCAACGGTTTGGGGAGAGCGTAGCGGCCGCGGCGCGGGTCCGGCAGCTGCGGCAGCTGAGGGGGGCAGGCAGCGCCCCGTTCCATTTGGCCGTCCCTGCTCCGGCCGCCCCAGCTGCCCGGCTCCCCAGTCCCCTCTGCTACTCACCGTTATTGCACCGCTGGCTCGTCGGCTTTCTGCGCTCACACCCGCGACCATCCGTCTGCTACTCCTGGGACCGTCGGACTGCTCGAGCCACGTTCTGCGCCTCCCGGCTCCGCACCTGATTTACGACACTTTACGGCTTTACGACATCATGTTCCTCATACCTAGAGCGGGAACCTTGTTGCTATGGCGAGGACGGTTTGCGCCAATGGTAGAAGCCGCTGAGTCTGCATCCAGCGGCGAGGGAAACGCCAACTTTTTGTTACTTACCAGCCTTTCACCCTTGCCTGCATCCATGTGTTGCATTGCACTGGATATACAGAAGCAGATTAAATAATTTATTTGCACGTAACATTGTGTTGAATGATCGTCTAATGTCTTTGTAAAAGCCTCATATGAAAATATTGGTGGTTCTTTAAAAATATGACAACTCTCTATGAATGCATTCAACTGTATTTAGTTGCCAGCTTCTGTGAATAATTTAAATTGGCTAATCCTCCAAATTAGTGAGTAGTGAAGTTTGGTGAGCAACTTCTGGCTGCAAGGTGAGACAAGGTGAGTGTTCCTAGAAAATGTAATAGCATTTTGTTGGATGCACAAAATTTTATTAGACATAATTGAATACGTTTTGAACTTGATTTTAAAGACATTGTAATAGAAACTCTGTATCATTAGGGTGACTTGCAATGTTTCATGTAAGAAGTTTGGTAGCTCTCCATGCCCATGGGAGGGATGCTCAGCAAATATTTCTGAGGTTCCTTCTAGCCCTGTATGTCTGTATATATGGAACCGTACATAGCCATCTAATCTGCTATATTTCATCATGAGGATGCATGAAACTTTCAGTGGGTCTTGTAGCCTCCAGGAGTAGCCAGACAGAAGACATAATATTCCTCCCTCTGCTTTCAGATCCCCAAAATGTAAAATTTTATCTCAGTCCCTTTATAGGAATCATCCTGGGAGGTGAGCATAGATTCCTTTCTCTGGGACCCTCCCTGATCTAAAATCTTCCCTCTAATTTCCTTTCTCTTTTCAGCTTGAAGCATTTTTATCAAGTATGGGAAAATGGTGGGATATGGATGACAGGGAATGTAAGTTTTACCTAACTTAAACGTTCAACTTCCTTTTTCTTTTACATCTGAATCTCGTCTTATGCACTAAAAAGCCAGAATTCTTAACTGTCTTCTCTGTTTCCTCTGTTACTCTCCCCAGTGCAGAGCAGCAGTTGATGCCCTGCTAAATGGAAATAAATTTGTTTGTAATTAATTGGGTATTCCTATAATGATCCATGTGTCACCCTGTCTATGTCAAGATATATTCTCTGAAAATAAATAACTTACACCATATGCAGAAATCAACAACATAAATATAAGAGCTAAAATCATAAAATTCTTAGGAGAAAACAGCAGTAAATCTTCATGATCTTAGATTTTGCAATGGATATTTAGATCTGACACCAAAAGAATGAACAATAAAAAAATAGATAAATTAAACTTTATCAAAATTAAGAACTTTGTACATCAAAGGGCATTATCAAAAAAGTGAAAAGACAACCTGAAGGGCCCCCACCAGTAAGATGGCAAACTTCTGGCTTCTCTTCAGGGTCCTCGGTTCCTGCCGGCACCACCTGAAGCCCAATCACCTCTTGCCCCCCTCCCAATCCCAGCACCGAGCCAATAACCACCAACCCCGTAGAAGTAACACCACAATCACCCCATGCCCCTTCCTATATAACCCAGTACCATTCCCTAATAAAGCGGAATTCTCCAGTGAATTGCTGCTGTGTGCCGCTCCTTTCCTTTCATTGGTGCTGAAACTCGGGAGACGGGACACCCCAACTGGGCCCCGTCTTCCCGCCGACACCAGCAGCAGCTTGCCCTCGTCCTCTTTTTCCGGCACTGGCTCATCACACTCACCACTCCTCTCTGGCCTTTAGGTAAGTTTCCCCCCCGGAGTGGGCCACTCTTCCCTGAACTATCGCAGTGCCATTGACCGTGATCGTCCAGCAAGGCCCTGATGCTTGGGGACGAGGAGGGAACTCTCCCCGCCTCAGGCCTTCACGGCTGCGGTGGACCCTCAGGCCCCTCCTCCAAAAACCATAAATCCCCACCTCAGGCCTTCACGGCTGCAGCGGACCCTCAGGCCCCTCCTCCGACAGTCATAAATGCACTCACCGTCCCTTCCATTAGTGCCGAAACTTT